AAAGTATCCTTCCTATTAGAAGAGCTCATTTTTAATGTACTTGAAAGGCATTTCATCCTTTTCCTATAACCAAATACTTCTCACACTCTGATCTTAGGGATAAAAATCACAAAGACCTCGCAGTGACTCAGTGAGAGCGCTGAGCTAATACTGACCCTGTTTAAAATGTCCCCAACCGATTTTGGTTAGAAACTCTAGTGTTCCAGTATCCACAAGTAGAAGTGATGAGGACATAAATTAATGCAAAACACTCGTTTATGTCTGTGACCCCCCCCTTCTTTGCCAATAATGGAGCTTACCTGCCAGGTAGAATTCCTACTCTTCGCCTACTCTTGAATCTACAGATCCAAGCTCTGAGATAATCACATGCCCAAGACAACTGCCACCCTTCAGAAAATGTTAAAATAAACACCAACAGCTAATGATGCCACTGGGTAAAAGGTCTCTACCACTGGATAGAAAGAAGCAACATAAATTTTTTAATAAAAACAATCCTGCAGCATTTATTGTCATTTTGAAATAACATAAGGGTAATCAAAACAATATGAACAAATGTTTTAGACCTATACTCCCAACAAAGTACACCTAAAAAAACTGTATTGCCATCTCAACAATTTCTCACTTCATTGATCGTTTCTAGTTGGAGACACTTTGTAGCAGAGTAATATTATCTCCTTTTAGCATGATCCAACCCAGTTGTTTTCTTGACTTTGTTTTAGAATGAATCTCTTCTGCATCATCTAATACAAGGTTCATATACTCATCAAATCCAATGATACAGCCCTCTATCAGCATATTCACTTGCTCAGAGAGCCACACTTGGATCCAGGATCTATTTTGTAAGTATCTGAAGATGAGGTTGATGGGCTGCACCATCACTTTCTGCACTTTCTGGCCCTGGCCACGGTACACCATTACGGAATCTCACAAAGACCACACTGACCCGCACGCTACTTCCAAAAGCCGGTCCTCAGCAATTTGGTTGGATATTTCACTGTAATATGGAAGAGCCCTCAGTCTACTTAATCAGGTAAAGCTTTTTGTTGCTTTGGAAACAAGCATTTCACATTTATTTTTGTTGGTAAAAAGCTAGATCTTTTAGTGCTATAATCCTTTTTCCTAAGAAACTCAAATATAACTTTAAAATACATAAATTACTGGAATACTATCAGAGCTTTCTTCACTCATGAAGAAATGAAGGAATGCCCTAGAAAACATAGGGAGTTATTAGGAATAAATTAAGGTTGCCCATATGCTGGCCCTGAGTAAAAACGTAAACAATTATAAAATTTTACTCATTTGGTTTTGAAGACACTACAGAGAACAGAATTGATTAAAATCCCTCCCTTATGGAACCTATATTTTAGTGGAACAGAAGGTGAGGCAATAAACAAATTAAATAATTAAAGTACATTGCATTTAAAATAAGGGCTATAGATAAACTAGGGATGGTGCTATGACTTGAATTATGTCCCCCTTACAAAATTCGTATGTTGAAATCCTAATCCCCAGTACCTCATAATGTAACCATATTTGGAGATAAGGCTTTTAAGGAAGGAGGCTAAATTAAGTTAAAATGAGGCCCTTAGGTTGGGCCCTACTCCAATCTAATTGGGGCCTTATAAGAGGAAATCTGGGCACACAGAGAGACACTGGGGCACAGAGGGGAAAAAACCATAGGAAGACACAGAGAGAAGGCTGCCAACTGCAAGCCAAGGAGAGAGGCTTCAGGAGAAACCAAACCTGCTGACACCTTGATCTTGGACTTTTAACCTCCAGAACTGAGAAAACAAATTTCTGTTGTTTAAACCACTCCATCTGTGGTATTTTGCTAATGGCAGCCCTAACAAATGAGTACAGATGGGGAGAGATTGTGCAAGTCTTTTGCTTTGTTTAATCTATAGGTGTCATTGAGAAAATGACATTTGAACAAAGACCTGAGAAAACAGTCAGTCATATGGCTATTTGGGCAAGGGGCATTCTGGTAGAGGTAAAAGTAATCCCAAAAGCGCTGAGATGGAAAGAGGCCAGTGTGGTTTGATACCTAAGAGCCTAATGCTCTTAGGTAGATGATGGGTCAGAAAGGGCATGGAATAAGGAGATAGAGGCAGATCACTGGAGGGAAGGGTTCTCAGAGGATGCTTAGCCATATTGTGCACCAAAGGGATATTTCAAAAAATTGTGAAGACATTTTGACATTATTATGACTGGGGTGGTGGTGCTGGCCTTTAGTGGGTAGGTAACATTTATGTGAAAAGTACAGTCATGCTCAGGACCGTTAAACCCAACAAGGTATTTTTCTGTATTCTGTGACTATAAAACACCTTACTGTTCATTAACGTAGAGTAAAACTTTATTTATGCTAACTTCTAAATTCCATTAATGGCAAACTAGGTTATTGGGATCAACTCTCCACTGAAAACAAGTAATCATTATAGATATTAATAAAATGTATTTGATCAAATTTGGAAAGCTTTTGCTCATATTTTTTTCAAATATTTTTCTGCCTTATACTCTCTTCTCCTTGCCTTCTGGAAGCCCAATTTCATGTATGTTAGATTGCTTGATACTATATCATAAATCACTGATGCTGTTTATTTAAAACAATTTTTTTTCTCAGTGTACTTTAAATTTGGATGATTCTTACTGACCTGTCTTCAAATTTACTGTATGTCCAATCTACTGATAATCCTACCAAATAATTTCAGTTATTGTATTTTTTAATTCTAGGAATTCCATTTCATTCTTCTTACATTATTTGTATTCCTCCTGAAATTTACGTTTTCATCTATTGTATCTACCCTTAGTAAGATTCCTTATTTATTTATTATTTATGGTTTTAATTCCTTGTCTACTGATTCCAACATCTGTAGGTCTGTTTCTATTGATTTATGACAAACGTGATATCACAGAACAGTGGTTTTAAGAATTTTTTTTTCCCAAGAAGGACTTGGGTATAACTACATGAAAAAAAATTAGTACTTATTTCATGCCATACTCCAAAATCCATTCTAGGTAGTTAGTAAAGCAAAATGTTCAAAGAAAAAACGTTAAGTTTCCAGATGATAACATAGGAGAATGGCCTTGTCACCTTGGGGCAGACTATGATTTCTTACAAGTTAGCAAAGGCACGAACCATGAAGGAAGATTGCTAAATTAGATTTCAATACCAAATAAAGACTTATATTTGTAAAACTCTTAATAATGAGATAGTTAAAATGCAAGCTATTGATTAGGAAATGGTGTTTGTTTGCAGCACTCTTCTCGAATATGCAAGTCAAGTGGAAAATCAAGTAGAAAAAGATTACCCAATAGAAAAATGAGTAAATGCCTAAAAGGCACGGTACTAAAAGGGATATCCAAGTGGTCAATAATCACATGAAAGAAGTTTTTTATCATTAGTCATCAGAGAAGTGTAAATTAAAGCCACATAAACACCAAGTGTTGATGAGGATGTGGAGCAATGAAAACTCTCATCATACAAAGCTGGTAGGAGTGTAAAGTTGAAAAACTGCTTGGCACTATCACTATAGCTGACCATAAACATACTCTCTGTCCTGGCTATTCCACTTTTGGTAGGTTCCCAACAGAAATATGCATCTATGTAAATAAACATATGCAGAATAATGTTCACTGGAGTATTATTTGTAATAGCAATAAACCTGGAAATAATCTAAATGTCCAATAACAGCATAAGGGACCAGTCACAAAAGACCTCAAATCATAAGATTCAGTTTTTGTGAAATGTCCAGAACAGGCAAATCTATAGAGATAGAAAGAAGATTAGTAGTTACCTGGGGCTACAAAGGATAGGGAGGTGGGGGGGCTGGTGACAACTAAAGGGTCTGGAGCCACTTTTCAGATGATAATGTTCTAAAATTGATTGTGGCCATGGTTGCACATATCTGTGAATATACTAAAAAAAACCCCATCGACTTGCACACTTTAAATAGATGAATTGTATAGTATGTGAATTATATCTCAATAAGGCTGTTAAGAAAAACTAACAGTAAAAAGGATAAATTGTGTAAACTCCACAACTGAAATTCATACAGCACAAAATTTTAAAAAGAACTGTTACATGCAAGAACATGGATGAACTTAAATATAATATGGAGTGAAAGAAACCAAATACTATAGAATATTTACTGAATAATTCATTTCATGTGAAATTCAAGAACAGACAAAAGGCAGTGGTTGTATTAGGAGAGAAGTTGCCCCTGATTGGGGAGGGGGATGAAGGATGCTAATAATAGTTTATTTCTTGATCTAGGTTGTGGTTGCCAGTATGCATTTATGTTAGTCTTTGAAAGTTTATTGAACTATATTTATAATTTGTACACTTTTCTGTATGCTGTATTCAACAAAAGTTTACTAAGAAATATTTTTAAAAATCCAGTTGTTCAGTAAGTTGACATATTAGTAAGCATTGAAAAACAGAACTAAAAGAATACACAAACATTTTAACAGTTAATTTTGTCGGCTGGGATTATGGGGAATTTTTATTTTCTCCTATATACTTCTCAATATCTTCCAAATGACCATAGTGGACATATATTACATTTATCACTGCAAAACAATGCTATTAAAACACAATTGTCTGAGGTACTCTTGTATTGTAAACTAAACTAATTTATTGAAAGTGTAGGGACTTTGGCTTTTGCTCCCAGATGGGAAGCTACTGACATTTTAGAGTAAGGGAGGGCGTGGCAGCTGGTCTGGGGGGTTCCTGGAGGCCTTGCTGGCCGCAGCTGGGGACTCACCAGCAGCCACCCGCCTGGGAGGAGCGGAGGCGCAGGTGAGGGGATCCAAGAGACCCCCTGGGCACCTGGGCAAGCCAATGCTGAGTAAACTGGGCGGGTCACGCTCCTCACAGACCCAGGGTCCTTACTGCGGAACTACGGTCGGGCTGGGAAGGGACGGAGAACTCAGTAGTCACTGACGCTCCAGCCTCAGTGCTGGGTAAAGTTAATGATTGGGCTCCATCATTGCGGGCTTCACGTTCGTGTAAAGCTAGCCGCTAAGAGTGGTTTTTACAGTTTTACGAGATTGTCAAACGAAGACAAATATGCGACAGAGACTGCCTGGCTTGCAGATTCTAAAATATTTGCTATCTGGATCTTTACAGAAAAAGTCCGCCAACTCCTTGATTAAAGACTCTAGGCACAAAAATCTTGGGGCACTTAAACATTTTACCTGAGTATGCGCTTGCTGGCGAGGAGCCGGCTGTGCAACGAGTGTGCCCAGCGACACGTGGAGCACGCAATGTTGTGCCGCCCAGGCTTCTCAGACGGAGCAAGTCGGAATCCACTAAAGAAAATTCACCTCTGAAAATCCAGACTCCAAGCGGGTGGCCTGGCGCTTCCCGGCCGGGGGCTCCAAAAGGATGAGGATGCTCACTGTGGCCCTAAGCGTTTCGCAAAGCAGCAGGGTTCGGGTCTTCCCACTGGGACAGCATCGTTGTCACTCCTGGAGAAGCCAATGGAACCCCCAGGGGAGTTTCTTCTCCTACCTCAGTTGCGGGCATGCAGCGCTCGGCGCACTCAGGAACTTTGGGAGAGGCGCCGCGTGGGCGCGGCCGGCAGCCCGGCGCATGCGCAGCGCCACTGGCAGGCTCCTCCCACGGCGCGGGCTCGGCGGGAGCTCTGGACTCCCCGGGAGCGCGCGTCCTCCCAGGGCCGCGAGTCTGAGGGCAGCCCGCGAGGGAGGACGTAGGCTATATTTTGAGAATTAGTTGCGAGCAACTCTTCACCCTTAAATATTGCCGACACGTGACCTACTCAAGTGACAATTTCTTGCCTAATATCTCAGTATGTATCCCCTAAGAATTAGGGATTGTCCTACATCAGGGTTTCTCAACCACCGCGCTGTTGACCTTGAGGCGGGCTGATTCCTCTCGTGTGTGTGTGTGTGTGTGTGTGTGTGTGTGTGTGTGTGTGTGTGTGTGTAGGGAATGACCTGT